GGGATTGTAGGTGGGGGGGAATGAATGTACAGCGCTCTCTCCCACCTTCAATACCATGACTGAGGTGCCCTTGAGCAAGGCACTGAACCCCCAACTGCTCCCCGGGCGCCGCAGCATAAATGGCTGCCCACTGCTCCGGGTGTGTGTTCACGGTTTGTGTGTGTTCACTGCTGTGTGTGTGCACTTTGGATGGGTAAATGCAGAGCACTAATTCCGAGTATGGGTCACCATACTTGGCCACATGTCACTTCACTTCACTTCACTTCACTGTAACTGTGAAAGCATGTAATCTGGCTAACTTACTTTACAACTTCCCTTACAAAAATTAACCATATGGTTTTACTATTATAATTAATTAATTAATACATTTATTATGTAAAAAGTAAATAAAATAAAAAATTGTTATATATAGTTAAACCATGGTAACCACAAATTAACCATGGATTTACTACACTAACCATTGTTTAACCATGGTATTTGTACAACTGTGGTTATACAAATGGTAATCAATACAAAAAAAAACATGGTTAATTTTCATTGTTGGGGTCCTCCCGTTGTGGTCTGTACTTGCCTTTCAGTATTTGGTTGTGTTGTGAGCATTTGCAGCGCGTTTCTTTATTTGGTTGTGTTGTGAGTATTTGCAGCATGTGTGTTGTCAAATTGATGAAGATGTTTTCCATCTTTAACTCTCTCCAAATTGCCTTTCAGAGTCTGGCCTTCAAGGGAAACACCACAACGGTGACTCATCCATTCATAGAGGAGATTCAGAGCACTTCACACTTCTTTAGTAAGTTTCGTCTGTGTGTGAAGACAGTAGCGCAAATCTGTGAATGAATGTTCAGAAGTGAAATAAACTTCAACGGAATAAAGTTGAATGGAATTTAATTGAATTAAAGTTGAATAAACTTCAACTTTACTGTTCAGTGCACTGATGTCAGACTCAAGTTTATTGTTAAATTGTTAAATGCCCTGCCTCCATTACTTATCTCTGTCAGTGTCACATCATTATAAGTGTTTGATCACCACATTTGAGTGATCATTGCAAAAAATATGTTTCTGTATATAAATATATTCTGTTTATGTATATACTTGTGCTGTCAAACTGGTTTTCTTAATTTGCTGGTGCTTTTTCTATTTGCATGTGTTTTCTGAAGTTGCAGCGCGTTGAGCTCTCTCGGCCACAGTACATTTCTTCCTTTAGACACACTGTCTGTCTGTGATGACTAACGGGCATTCACACAGAACACGTTCTGGTGTTAAAAACAGCTGGATGGAGTGCAACGGAATTGCGCAGAACTCACATTTATAACACTCATACTGCAATGCTAAAATAAACACTATGACTACACTCGAGATTCATCCAATCACATCGATCCATTGTGCTCAAGGGGTCAACGTTTGGCTGGTTAGCAAAAAATCAAAAATCAAATAAAACAAAAATGTCTTTGAAGGAAAAGCATTTAACAGATAGTTTATAACTGACTGCCAGCTACATTAAATTGGTTACGTGTAGCCAAATGCCACTAAAGAGGAAGAGAAAGAGGAAGGGCGATGACTGCAGCTTTCATTCATCATGCTTGTTGTCAGCATGCAAGCAAGCAGACACACTGCATAATCAGCTCAGTAATTCTCTGAGAGTAGAGATCTACATCCCTGTTGGCATGCCGTATCACTCTCTCTGCTCACAAGAGATGGCACGAGGGCAGAGGGATTACAGAAAGGAAGGGAGCAGATGATGGATGGATGTACCAAAATTCTGACAGAAAATTCATTTGTAAAATTTAAATGATGTGAGACGGCAACAGACTAAATAACAACGACAACATAAAAAAAAAAATAATAATAATAACAATAATACTTTTAGTGGCTATATGAAAAAAGTAGTATGTCTGAATTCACAGTATTCATAAAATGGGAGGCAAAAAGTACCCGGATTACTTACTACTTCCAATGAGATTCTGAAATGTGCATCCAATAGACACTTTACTATCCCATGACGCCACAGGAGAGGATTTGTAAATGGCTGTGAAGCGACACAACTGACGCTGGTACAGTAGGTCAAATGACAATGAAGCATGAATGGTTGAGAAGTAATTACTTATTAAAAATCATTTCCATATTTTTGATGCAGTCAGCGTCCAGGAAGGCTGAGGAAAATTCTAATCTCTTAAATTTAAGACTACGTCACCAAAACTGCACTTGACAGCAGGACACGTTTTACAACCCCATTATATAAATTAGACTGCACAATTAAGCGCATGTTGGTGGCCAGTTTTATTCATGGATAAGGCAGCAATACTCCTGCAGATGGAGCCTAGGGTTGATCTCAGTCCAACAGAAGACACATCAAACATGCAGTCATGCTTTAGATCAGCTCCAGAAAACTGATCTGAAGCAGATGCCACAAGGGTGTTACTGAAACTTCTATCAGAGCTTCATGTAGGCCTGCTGTGGTCATAAGGCATAAGGATGCATGCAGATTTACAATTCCAGCATCGTTACAGAATCTGCTCCAGACAGGCATAGTGACTTTTAAGTGATTGTAGTTATGTGAACCATGAGCATTTTAAAAGGTTATGCAAAATGTGAAATAACATGTTTTGTTTTTTTTCAACAGAAGAAATAAAATTTCTTTCTTTATCAGATTAATCAAAGAGGTGGAATGGAACAGAAAAGACTAGAATGATGGCGGATCACTCACTGGCCCCCGAAGAGTTGCATGCCTAGCAGGGCAAATACCACGATGAAGAGGAAGAGGAGGAAGAGCAAACTGATGATGGACTTCATAGAGTTTAACAGTGAAACCACTAGATTCCGCAAAGAGTTCCAATACCTACAGAGAGAGTGGGAATTAACACAATATATAGAAGTTGCCAACTCACTTTGAAAGCATCATAAATCAGAAAGCAGGCTTGTGCATGTGTATGTATATTCATCTACTTACTTGGTTACTTTAAAAATACGGAGCAGGCGCAGGGCTCTCAGAACACTGATCCCAAAAGATGCACCAGGCTGAATCGCTGCCCACACCACCTCAAATATACTTCCCACAATTACCTGAGAATGTAAATCAAGATTCACTCAGTTATACAAGTTCATTTTGTGTAGACTCTCATTTAAATGAGCAGATGGCCATTACTAAAATAGTCTATTAACTAAAAATCTGGAAATATGACATTTGGGGTGAATATGAGTAAGCTGGCTAAGTCACAACTCATGAACGGGCCTGTGGTGATTCAGTGTAGACATAGGTATCACAGTGGCTTATAATGACTGACTGGATGCAACAGCACAGGCCCGTCTGAATCAGGAGTACTGTGACTCACCCCAAAGTCAAAACAGTTGAACGAGGAGTGAAAGTAGTTTCTGGGCCCCAGGCCGTACATCTTCAGGGTCATCTCTGTCAGAAACAGACCCAGGAATACAAACTCTGCCAGGTCTAACAGTCCATAGAAATGAAAGGAGAGATTAAGTTATCCGTCAACAACAATCTTCAATATATACTTATAATATTAAATAAATTAAATTAAAATGTACTATTAATTTAAATGTATTTATATCTCAATATGCATTTGTTTTATTTGTTCTTAAATTGCTAAACAGACTTTGTTCAACCACAAGATCAATCAATTAAACCCCAAAATATAATAAAACAATTTTCAATCATATTTAAATAATTTAACAATACACATAATGTATAATAAACATCAGTTGTTCTACCAAAAAAAATTCATATATGCTATGTTGCTATTGTTAACTAAAATTATTAAATATCACTTTGGTAATTGAAATGAAGCTGAAATGAAATAAAATACAAATATTACATAAATGCTACTTTAAAAACTTAAAATGAGAAATGTTGCATTGGCAACTAATTGAATTAAATAAGTTGAAATACTAAAATTACTATAACCAAAACTGAAATGAAAAGCAAAATATAAGTGAAACTAAAAATTAAATATAGAAACAAAAACAATTAATAAAACAAATTTAAAATGCAAACTGTATAGTTTATAATAGTCCATATATAATATACATATATTAAATTCAAAACAATAATTCTGTGATTTGTTTTCAGCATCACTGAAAGATGTTTATATATATAATATATACAGTGGGGCAAAAAAGTATTTAGTCAGCCACCAATTGTGCAAGTTGTCTGTTGTGTGCACTTTCGTTACTAAATGAATTTGCCTTTTTTGAACACGTTGAATCCATAGACTGTAAAAAAAAAATTCACCAACCCATTCATACTGGGTTGGTGAACCCAGTGAATCGTTTCTTACTTCACTCCTGAATCGATTGAACAAATGACTCAACAACTCAGTCATTAAGACAGTGGCTTGCTACCAGAGGTGGAAAATAACGAATTACATTTACTCGCATACACTGTAATTGAGTAGCTTTTTTGTGTACTTCTTTATTTCGCGAAAATGGTTCTAAACAAAGCCATGTTGTGCGTCTGTTGTGTGCACTTTCGTTACTAAATGAATTTGCCTTTTTTGACACACGTTGAATCCATAGACTGTAAAAAAAAAAATTCACCAACCCATTCATACTGGGTTGGTGAACCCAGTGAATCGTTTCTTACTTCACTCCTGAATCGATTGAACAAATGACTCAACAACTCAGTCATTAAGACAGTGGCTTGCTACCAGAGGTGGAAAATAACGAATTACATTTACTCGCATACACTGTAATTGAGTAGCTTTTTTGTGTACTTCTACTTTTTAAAGTAATTTTTTTAATCTGTAATTTTACTTTTACTCAAGTATATTTTGTTTGAAGTATTGTACTTCACTACATTTTAAAACACATTAATTACGGAGTAAAAAAAATCACTCCCTGGCAGTAGGCTAAAAAGATGGAGACGGACAAGCCAGGCATTATGGTGCAGACCCAGCTGAAAATGAAACTCCGTCATATTCTGCTGAAGTTGAACTTGAAGGAAATGAAGTGAACCCCTGGCATATTTATGCTCTATTATGCAGTGTACGCGGTGTTCGCCTAGGGAGACCAAACTAGCAGCTTATAAAATCTCGACATCAACCCTTCGCAAGCATGTATAGGTAAGGTAAATACTTGCATCATTGCATTGGTGGTTAAAATGAAACTTTGACAGTTTAGCTAAATGTTTTGCACAAATTAGCCAAAAAGACAGTGGTGCAGGGTGTGTGATATATATCGTCTGCGATAATATCATAATTGTTGTTTTAACGATTTGTGATTTGACATTATCAGTATTTTGCCAAAAAACAAACAAAACACTCCTACAGAGTGCCCTGAAGTCTAGTAGATCAGTTAGAATAGTGTGCGCGTGCATTAGGAGTGGGTTCTTTCACTGCGTGATTAAGTCTGTTAAAATGCATTTAGAATGATCCCAAAATTTAAGATATAGGGGCAGAAAATTTATATATTTATATAATTTCATATAGTAAATCAATATCACACGAAGAGTGCCGTTTTTTCACCAAAAATCAGCATGATGGCATATAGATTTTTTTACAACAGCTCAATAAACAAGAAGTTAATTAAGAGACTTGCGTTTTAGACACCAAATTGCCTGTTTTTGCTCTATTTCGACAACAAAAATAATTCCAAAACACAGCCACAGCACAGTTTTGCGTCTCTGAGCCATCAACGTTTCGTTCCTGAATGAATCAATCGTTTAAATGATTCGGTTCAATCGCAATGACTCACTTATTAACAGTGACTTTTCATTTCACATTTAAAGTATCTTTTGATTTTTTTTTTATAATTTAAAATGAGTATTCAACACTTTATGTCTTATATATCAAAACATTATTTATGCATTTGTAATTGCAGGTTAAATGCATTCATGTCCTGCATTAAACAGTGTGTAAATACATCTAAATGCCACTTCAGATGAAGCTTCTCTGTTTTCTCTGCTTTGCAAAGATGAATTTTGTTGATACTGATTTAATTTGCCTGACAACAGCCCAAATGTCTTATTATTCTAAATAACTGATTCCTTTAATTAAAAACAACTGGTTTGAGATTTATTGGCCTATCCCAGGGGTGTCAAACTCAGTTCCTGGAGGGCCGCAGTCCTGCAGAGTTTTGGTCCAACCCTGCTCCAACACACATACCATGTAGTTTTCAAATAAGCCTAAATGATTAGATTAGCTGGATCAGATGTGTTTAATAAAGGTTATATCTAAACTGTGCAGGGCTGTGGCCCTCCAGGAACTGAGTTTGACACCCTTGGCCTATCCCATTTTTGCCTCCCTTCCACTGTTAAAATGTAACCAAGTAATTTTTACTCTGAGTAAATTTTAAATGAGCTACTTTTTACTTTTACTTGAGTAGATTTTTAGACTGGTACTTTTACTTGTACTTAAGTAAAATTTCATTAATGTAATGTTACTTTTGCTTAAGTAGAATAATTTTAGTCTCATTTTAAAAAGTATCATTCTATTTTCTTCAATCATTTCATATTTCTGTGTTCTAAGTTTTACATTTAAAACATTAATCTCATAATAGTATTTATGCAATTTGTAAGTGCAAATTATAATTAATTATACTTCTCTCTTTAAAAACATTAAGCCACTTAGCCAACGTAGGCCTAACTTTTCATCATAGCCTATTTTATTTAAAGTGTATCCTGTGTATTCTGATACATACATTAATGTCTCTGGGCTAAGCTCTGGATATCCACTCACCCTAGAACCGCTCCTGTATATATATATATATATATATATATATATATATATATATATATATATCTATATATCTATATATAGATATATATATAGTACACTGCCATTCTACCAAGTTTTTTGATGTTTTTGAACCACCAAGGCTGCATTTATTTGATCAAGTATAAAATAAAAACAGTAACATTTAAAATATGTTTTCTATTTGAATATAGTTTAAAATGCAATTTTTTCCTATGATGGCAAAGCTGTATTTTCAGCATTATTACTCCAGTCTTCATTCAGTGCTAACTTCATTCCAGTCAGAAATCATTCTAATATGCTGATTAGCTACTCAAGACACATTACCTTTTATTATTAATGTTAATATTAAGTAATATTTTTTTCTTTAATAAAAAGAAAGTTTAAACGTTTATTTATTTGAAATAAAAAACATTTTTTAACATTATAAATGTGTCTACAATCACTTTTAATCAGTTTAATGCATTATTGCTCCGAATTTTTTTCAATTAAAAAAAACTTTTGAAGAATTTTTTTATTTTATTTTATTTTATTTTGAACATTTTCATCACAGTGTCATTCTCAGAATCAGAATCAGAATGAGCTGTAAATAAGGAATAAAAATATACAAATCGACAATTGTAGGAACTGAGTTTGACACCCTTGGCCTATCCCATTTTTGCCTCCCTTCCACTGTTAAAATGTAACCAAGTAATTTTTACTCTGAGTAAATTTTAAATGAGCTACTTTCTACTTTTACTTGAGTAGATTTTTAGACTGGTACTTTTACTTGTACTTAAGTAAAATTTCATTAATGTAATGTTACTTTTGCTTAAGTAGAATATTTTCGTACTCTTTCCACCTCTGCTTGCTACCAACTACTGGTAATTTTAGTCTCATTTTAAAAAGTATCATTCTATTTTCTTCAATCATTTCATATTTCTGTGTTCTAAGTTTTACATTTAAAACATTAATCTCATAATAGTATTTATGCAATTTGTAAGTGCAAATTATAATTAATTATACTTGTCTCTTTAAAAACATTAAGCCACTTAGCCAACGTAGGCCTAACTTTTCATCATAGCCTATTTTATTTAAAGTGTATCCTGTGTATTCTGATACATACATTAATGTCTCTGGGCTAAGCTCTGGATATCCACTCACCCTAGAACCGCTCCTGTATATATATATATATATATATATATACACACACACACACACACACACACATATATGAAAAATGCGACAGACATTTTTGAGTGATGCTGAACACAAATCACTGAATTATAGTTTTTAATTGATTCACTAAAACTAACAGTTTGAAATTTTTCATAGAAATTAATTATATTTATTAAGTCATTTTTGCTAAAGAAACTGAAATGAGAGATTCTTTTAAAGGGGACATCGGATGCCTATTTTCCACAAGTTGGCATGATTCTTTAGGGTCTTCATGAAATGTCTGCAGCATATTTGGGTTAAAATTCCAGTGTTCGTGTAAAACAACACCCTTTTTACCTTGTCAAAAACAGCTCTGTTCATAGCGAGCCATTTCCGTGCATGTCTCTTTAAATGCTAATGAACTCTGCTCACCCCGCCCTTCTTCGTGTAAGAGGAAAGGAGGTTTGCAAAGATTCATAAAAAAAAACTTCTGCAGGTGAAGCTGGATCACGAACAGTTGGTACCGATCCATCCTTCAGGAACAACTTTTTAGCAAAATCTGCTTTGTACTGACCCTCGTTTACAAAGCAGTCTGGTGTACAACGATTTGCACAAACATAAATGCATTAAGGTAGATCGGGGGGCGCATACCCATCAAAAAAAAATAAATCCACTGTGTCTTCAGCAGCTCAGATGACAGGAGTAAATGACGACTACTATATTCATTCTCACGTCCAACAACAAAACACCTCAATCGCTTAGGAGCATTCTAGTCTACACCTGCTCCGGTGTCAAAACAATGGCAGACTGTTTACAGCTCACTCAGGGTGGGTCTATGCTAAAACGGCAGTGTTCGTCAACAGTTGTGGGAGGGGCCTGTGCAACGTGACGTCACTTTGCCAAGAATCTGTGAACGGCTTGCTCTGAGAAAGTGCTTATGATTTGTGGTTATTTTAAAAAAAGCACTGAATGGATTTGTATCATTACAGGGTGGTTGTGTACACACACTGCCAAGACACATTTAAGTTCAAAGTGAATTTTGCATCCGATGTGCCCTTTAAAGTACGCTATTAAAACGTCTCTCTTAAATATTTTATGTCATGAGTCATGGAAAGATTACGAAACTAGTCTAATGGCATGCTGTATAGGAAACTAAATAGCCAAAAAATTCAAATGTTTGCCACAGTATATGAATAAATGTTGTATTTGCTTTGCTTACACAGGGCCTTGGTGAGCCACTCAGGCTGGTCGTAATGGACAATGGCCACACACATCGTGTTCAATCCCACCAAACACAGAACAATCCAGTAAAAACTCTGTGCCTTCACCATCCGCCGGATGAAAAAGCGTATCCTCTTTTCTTTTCGATGAAAGTATGAGGAGCTATCATTCTTACTGCTCTTCAGGCTAGCTCGAGCAAAAGGTGATCCAGGTGGTGCTAGAGAGAGAGATGAAAAATACAGGGAAAATCCTTAAACACAGATCATGGAGCTACTACTGTAATTTCATCTTTAATGAAACCATTTGCAACTGGTTCCATTTGGCCCACTCCGAGCAGGGATCAACCAGTAACAGCCAGCATGGGAGACAGGCATGCTAACAGAAACACTGAAGACTACAGCCTCTGTCAGCTGCCAGTGTGCCTTTTGAGGTCAGGAAAATTAATAGCAAAACATTCTAATGTTTTGACAAAGTATAATATGCTTAAACAGGGCCCTGGGATTTACAGCATAGTCCTTACCAGCTAACATCCCTTACATTTGAATAACAGAGAGGAGAATAAACTGTATAAACGGTTAGACTGAGACAGACAAGTGTTTAAGATTATGAATAATTCTATTAGCCTCTTAAATCTCAAATACTCAATCTCAAAAACAGACAATTCTAACTAATATAGTCACATGATCCTGCTTCCCCTTCTCCATTTTACCCACTTCTGTTAAAGGGCACAATTGTCTCAGACACTAGATACACATCATAAAAGAGTTTCTGTAGACGTTTCCAGTTATGTTTACAGCTCACTCAGGGTGGGTCTATGCTAAAACGGCAGTGTTCGTCAACAGTCGTGGGAGGGGCCTGTGCAACGTGACGTCACTTTGCCAAGAATCTGTGAACGGCTTGCTCTGAGAAAGTGCTTATGATTTGTGGTTATTTTAAAAAAAGCACTGAATGGATTTGTATCATTACAGGGTGGTTGTGTACACACACTGCCAAGACACATTTAAGTTCAAAGTGAATTTTGCATCCGATGTCCCCTTTAAAATCACCTTAAAATGCGAACGCGGGAATCGTTAAGCGGAATCGAAATGCACATGTCTTATCGAGCAACTGGTTCCATTTGGCCCACTCCGAGCAGGGATCAACCAGTAACAGCCAGCATGGGAGACAGGCATGCTAACAGAAACACTGAAGACTACAGCCTCTGTCAGCTGCCAGTGTGCCTTTTGAGGTCAGGAAAATTAATAGCAAAACATTCTAATGTTTTGACAAAGTATAATATGCTTAAACAGGGCCCTGGGATTTACAGCATAGTCCTTACCAGCTAACATCCCTTACATTTGAATAACAGAGAGGAGAATAAACTGTATAAACGGTTAGACTGAGACAGACAAGTGTTTAAGATTATGAATTATTCTATTAGCCTCTTAAATCTCAAATACTCAATCTCAAAAACAGACAATTCTAACTAATATAGTCACATGATCCTGCTTCCCCTTCTCCATTTTACCCACTTCTGTTAAAGGGCACAATTGTCTCAGACACTAGATACACATCATAAAAGAGTTTCTGTAGACGTTTCCAGTTATTTACCAAAGGAAGTGATTTTTTCTTTTTGCCGATAGCATGTGCCTATATGGTTAAACTATTTGATAATGCTGTGCTGAAGAATGAGGGCTATCTGAAAAGTAACAAAAGTGTTGAAGTTACATGCATAAAAGCAAAATTACCAAGTGTTCCTGGAGTTGTCAAGGCTTACCAACAGAGGAGATGTCTGTGAAATGTTCCTCTCCCTCTTCAGCACTAATGAGGTCATTTCGACCCTTCCTGGTCTTTGTTCTTTTCAGCACTGAAAACAAAACCACAAACACACACAAACAAAGCTAAATATTACACCAGTTACGAGAAACCTTACATTCTTCTTAAAAATGTGTCAGGAGACATTGAAAAAATACTTTTTAAAATGGTTTTAATTTATTAAGAGCTCAACTTATTACAAAAGCAACATACGTGTATCTGGCTACACCACAGGCCTGATCTCATGGTGACTCATCAGTCATGTGCAAACACAGGACAGCACACAGTCATGGCTGAGCACTAGTCCTGGGCTCTTTTCTGCCCCTCTCACACTTTCACTTTGTCTCTCTATGCATTGCCTTTTCTCCAAATGAACAGACCCAGTCAACATCATTAATTTCAGCTTGAGAAGGAATGGCTGGGAACCACAACTTTAATCCCTTGCTTTGTGCCATATAGTGAAGATATAAAAAACAGATATAATGATATTATGTTGTAAGATGAGCAGCTGGACATAATGCAATCACAACTTTATCTGATTTGCTTTCAATTCTAAAACACAAAATAAGCAATTTAATGATGATAAAGGCACATTTTATTGTTACTCAAAAAAATCTCTCTTTGCAGCAAAGACTATGCTTCTAAAATGTTCATCCTGCCAAAAATGTAGTTAGTTTAGTAGCATCACGACTTTTAGCTAGTTAGTGCCCAACACTGTGTGGCATGCATTTGAGAGTGTGTAACTAATCCAATTACCACAGTTGTCTTTAATCCCTGAAATTACTTTTGGCTTCCAAAACAGCCCAAATTGACAGAGATTATGGGCCTTGAGAAAACAGAGGCACTGGAAGCAGGATGACAACAAACAAGTGACAAGGTGACAGAGAAAATTATTTAAAGGTTACATGTAAATTGACTTTTTTTGAGAGTCCACAAGCATGTAAACACCCTAAAAAGATAATAGAAATGAATTAAAAAACATAAAACTGGATTTTCACTGAGCTGTTTTTGAACAGCCTTTGTACAGCATACGCCTATATTTGTGCCCAGGTGAAACGATCATTGAAAAGCCATTTTGCCCCATAACAACGCAAAATTATGGTCATGTATGAGGGCTCATGAAATGAGTGGTCAAACCTTCCAATGACCTGGTTTATCATAGGATATTATGGTAAACCAGTCACATGAACCCTTGCCCTCTTTTCACCTGGGTTGTTCTGTTTCCTCCTGTACCACGCACCATCCAGAGGGGATTTCTCCTCAGCATTCTGATCCTCCTCTGCCAGCAACACCTCCTCTGTAACAATTATCAAAGAGTATCAGTAAATCATACCATGTTCCATGCAATCAACCTAATTACATAATTCTATATTTCTAAAAATAATTATCCTGTGTCTTATTCTAGCAAACAAACTTTGGTGAATACTCTACCAGTTCAGGAATACCTGTATAAGATGTACAAGATAATGTAACAGTGAAGAATGTGGAGTTTATACTAACCTGCCTTGCATATCCATTCCAAGTATCCAGTGAGCTCTCTCTCAATCTGCTGCTGTCTGCGGAGCTTCAAGAACTCCTGCCTCTTCTCCACTCGCTCTCTTTCTTTGGCAAATTCCCTAAAACCAAACACACACACACACACATACATATGCATTTCTGCACTGAAATAATATGAACAGTAATCAAATTTTAAATACCCCAAATTTTGAAGAACTATTGTAAAAGACCAAACAAAGAATTGTACTTCATGTGCTGTATTTGTATAGCAGAGACCTTCCATTTCTGCTCCTGAAGATCCACTGTCTAATTAAACATACCTGAACAAGCTAATCAAGGTCTTCAGGATCACTTGAAAATTACAAGCATGGTTGTTTGATGAGATATGGAACTAAACTCTGCAGGGCAGTGGATATAAAATTAAGCAACATTAACACTGCGATTATTTCAATTTTAATGCACTTTTATATGGCCATTATGTCTATGGATTGGTACATTTGATTCATTTCCGTGCATTAGTCCATTTTAATGTTTCATTCAAAATTCAACATTTTGTTTTGTGTCATCAATCAAAAACATTAAAATTTTCATATTTTGAAAAGTTTCATTAAGAAACACATGTTGATAAGCATTCTAAACACATAGGACTGAAAGGTTCTCAATTTCACATGACCTTCAATCTGCAAACTGCAGATATAGTAAATGAGGAATAAAAACAACATGACTTGTGTTTCACTTCCATTACAGAAATCAGAGATGCACCAGAAGGGACAAGAGTATGCTCAAGGAAGACAGGTATGTTTTGATGTAAAAGAAGAAAAATAAAATAAAAATAATAATAATATTAAATATAATATGAAATATTAATATTATTTTACATACAAACCTATAATATTACGTGCTATCCAAAATAATTAACTAATTACATTATTTAGAAAATAAAAAATAAAGGTCTGGAAAAGGGAAAACATGTCTGAAAAAAGGACAGGAGAGCAAGAAAAAGTGGTGTTGGAAAGTTCCCCAGCATTTAATTCTGGTAAGTTTTTTTAATGCAGTCTTCCTTTTATGCATGTCATGTTTACAATTACTCCTTAAAACCATTTTTGACAGTGGTCTAATCAAATATATAACTATGTTTGATTTGTTTTTAAGGCAAAAGACACCCTGATATCAGAATTACACTGATTGGGGGTCGAAATTTATTTGGTAAAGAAGAAAGTGGAAAAAGTTTAGTAGGAAACATCATTCTGGGAAGAAGCGCTTTTGTTGTTGGAAAAAGAACTGCACGGTCTGTCCGAGCAGAGGGAGAAGTACATGGAAGACATGTGACTGTGGTTGACACCCCAGGATGGTGGTGGCATTATGCTGTGGAAGATACTCCAAAGTTTGATAGACTGGAAATCACAAGAGGCCCAACACTGTGTCCCCCTGGACCTCATGCTTTCCTTCTGGTCATTCCTATAGATTCAGGTTTTCCAAAAATCTACAGAACAGCTTCGGAGGGACAGCTTGAGTATTTTTCTGAGAAAATCTGGGGATACACTATTGTGTTGTTCAGCTCTATTGCTACAGACAATACAATAACTTTAAAAAAGAGCTTAAGATTTTGGCCAGATCTCCTATGGCTTCTAAAAAAATGTCAAAACAGAATGCATGTCCTTAATATTAGGAACAGCAATGAGAGCACTCAAGTGATCAAACTGCTGGAAAAAATTGAGAAAATGGTGGCCCAAAACAATGGCAACTATTTTGAAAGTACCCCTGTAAATGATGAGAGCGAGAAAATAACAGAGGAAAGAGTCAAACAAAGAATTCTTGTTGGGAGGAAACATGGAGCTGAACTTCAAGCATCCATTAAAGGTATGCATTACTGTCACTTTATTTATAAATGTAGTAAATGTCCAATTTAGTAATAGAAGATTAAGAAAATCTTTCACTGACTGATATATTATGCAACAATTTAATGAAAGAGCATTTTTTCAACAAAGCTATCATGAGATCACTGGTATTAATCCAAAATACTCACCAATGCACAATCAGCAAAAAATATAAACTGTCCCTCTTCTGTTTAGATGAGAAAAAACATCTAACTGATATACGCATTTTGATGCTTGGAGCATCATGGGCTGCAAAGAGCTCAGCAGGCAATGTTATTCTGGACAAAGATGTTTTTGAAGTTGACGAGTCAAGAACAACCGTGTCCTGTGCAGTAGGTAATGGTAAAGTACATGGAAGAAAGCTGACAGTTGTCGACACTCCAGGCTGGTACTGTCACAGTTTACTTGAAAAGACATCAGTGATTGACAAACTGGAGATTAGACGTAGTGTGAGTCTTTGTCCTCCTGGCCCACATGTAATTCTATTAACTGTTCCCATTGCCATAGCATTTAACAAGCCTTATCAAATAGCTGTGGAAAAACAAATGGGTCTTTTAGGAAAGAAGGTCTGGAACCATACAATTGTGCTGTTCACCAGAGGAGACTGGCTTGGGGATACAACCATTGAGGAACGTGCTGAAATAGAAGGAGAGCATCTTGAGTGGCTAATGGAACAATGTGGGAACAGGTACCATGTTTTTAACTGTAAGGATCACACTGACAGCACTCAAGTCACAGAACTCCTTGAGAAGATCGAGGAAATGGTAATGATAAATAACGGTTGTCATTATGCACCTGAAATTGAGAACGACCCATCTATTGAACTTGACATGAAGCTCAAAATAGCCAAAACCAACATGTTGAAAGTGAGGAAGAAAAGAGATATCCTTCAAGTGCTGCAAAATGGTACAAATATTTTTTTTTCTTAAAGGGGCATAAAATGCTATAACTCATTTTTTTGTGTTTTTTTTTAAAGATGTGTGATCACGTATGTGACAATGTCAGCATGCATTATTTTTAATTTAAAAAGGACAGTTTTTCAATGCAGACTTACAAATGCAAAACAGCTAACACATTCTGCCACTTTTTTCTTAAAACTAGACAAGAAATACAATCTCTCAGAAATGAGAATCGTGCTTCTTGGAGGAGAAGGAGCTGGAAAGACTATGACAGGAAACATAATTTTGCAAGGAAATGTTTTTGGGGACACGTCAGCAGAGGTATTTAATCAAAAAAGTGTTACATTTTACTTCAAGAATATTATTGATATAATCGGGTTCTGATTCTGATTACAAAGTGTACTATTAATTTTGGTTTTAAAGACCTCATATATACTTGAAATATTTCAAAATCTCAACACAGTGATTATATATACTATAGATTATTATTATACCACGCCTACTATTCTCTTTAGGACTTTAAAAAAAGACAATGTGTGATGCAACAAAAGAAAGTTGAGGGATATCAAATCTCTGTGGTAAAAACACCAAACAGTTCCAATTTTACTGTGGAAAACGCAAAAGAAATTTTGCGCAGTGTAACAGTGTGTTCACCAGGCCCACATGCATTCCTGTTAGTGCTACCTCTGCGTGAATCTTTTACAAAGAAAACTCAACAAACAGTGGAAGATGTCATGAACATTTTCGGGGAGAATGTTTGGAGACACACTGTGATTGTTTTCAGTTATGGACACTGGTTGAGGGACAGAGCAGTTGAAGAATACATTGCATGTGAAGGAGAAGCATTACAAGAGTTGGTAAGAAAGTGCGGAAACAGATATTATGTGCTAGTTAATACCTGGGCTAATAGATCTCAAGTCCAAAATTTAATTAGGATGATTGAATTAATGATGGCAAGAAACAGAGGTGAATACTTCACTCTAAAAAAGAAAGAAGAAAAGATGCCAACAAAGACATTGACAGAAGAGGAATGGAATAAACGTGAAGATGAACTCATAGAGAGAATGCTGGATGCAGCAGTGGTGGATCTGGATGCAGAGTACAAGCCACCATCTGCCAAAAAAAGAAGGTCAAGCCTTCAAAGGACAATAAATTGTAAGTTTTTGTTTTTCATAATTAAGTCACCATATACCTGTACCTGAGGAATTAATTAAAATGTAATTGTTTTTTGCTCTAACAGTTAACACACCAGACAAACAAACAAATCCCTAACCAATCTCAAATTTTTGTATTTTCAGTGAGTGGAGATTCATTGTCTGACAGCACCAGTGTAGATGGAGCTGACCATCTAAACTCTAAGGCCAAAGTATTTCAATGGCTGTGGCATCCAAGAAATGATGCTACATCATCTGGCTATGACACAATAAGCATTACATCAAGTTCTGTGGGGATAAATGAACTGAGTCTTCAAGAACTCAGGAAAGTGGACATGGAAAGTGAACATGGAAAGTGGTAAAGATTATATTACATAGACACTATCCAATGCATTTCACGTAAATGTTATTCCATAACAGATTACAAATGATAATTGTATAACAATGGTTCTCAAACTGTGGTACGTGTAGGACTGCACAATTAATCGAATTTCTAATCGCAATAACTATTACGGATGTCACAATTACATAGTCGTTCAAAGCAGCAATTAATCGTTCAAAGTCCGCTTATGTTATTCTTTTTTTATTTCTACATGTTATCTTAAGGATTTTTCCATTGTTTTAATTTTAGTTTTATTCTTTTGCCTATTGCACTGGTTCTCAAACTGTGGTACGTGTAGGGCTGCACAATTAATCGAATTTCTAATCGCAATAACAATTACGGATGTCACAATTACATAGTCGTTCAAAGCCGCAATTAATCGTTCAAAGTCCGCTTATGTTATTCTTTTTTTATTTCTACATGTTATCTTAAGGGTTTTTCCATTGTTTTAATTTTAGTTTTAGTATAACATTATAATACCATGCATATTTTTAAGAGAAACCAATCTGATGTATAGTTGACATTTGAGGCTTAATACTATAGAAAAGCTATAAAAATTTTTCAGTTAGTGTTTTCAGCTCGTTTATTTTCATATAAAAATATGGCATGCAGTTGCTTCAAACAAAGGTGTAAACATCATTGATTTAATCGCAAATTAATCATCGCAATTACAATTTCAAAGGAATAATCGACAATTATGATTTTTGTCATAATCGTGCAGCCCTAGGTACGCGTATTTGATAGAAATCAAATATTATTAAATATATAAAAATAAAATATGAACAAAAATATCATCTTTATTCAACA